TTTTTGTTTTTTTTTTGTTTTTTTTTTGTTTTCTAATGAAGATATTTTCTCCCACTGGTGGGCCAAGCGATTGATCTGTATGACGCGCGCGTGCGCGCAGTACTGCGCGTTAGCCAAACTGGTATGAAGTATAAGGTGGGATCATTGAATCCTATATCCTCGTCGATACCAAATTTTTGAGCATTCATTTTCATGCGTCTGAATAAGCGCCTTCTCCAGCGGTGTTTTTGTCATTAAGTGAATTTTTTATTGTGTTTATATGTATTTGAATTGACTCACTTTATAATTGCTCTCTGAGCCAGGATTTCTGATCCAACCTCGAAAAAGCGCTTCGTGAGACCGCGTGAAATGTCTGCGTATCGCCTCCTATCGCGTTCGAAGAAAGCGCGCTTGTCGCAGAGACGCTGTCGTCAACGTGACAAAGGTGTGTGAAAAGCAAAATAGTTGAATAGCACTAACTAATGCGACATAAGCTGTGCCCAAGGGAAATATCTATGTTATACTCACGCACGGACATATATGGAAGTGAAAATAGCGAAACAAGAAAAATGCAACACATCGCTGCACAACGGGGTCGAACCATCTACCCAACAGTTGCCGTCTGAGTGAGGAATCTCTGCTTATCCATTAGGCCTACAGATCGTTGGTGCCACCCATCGCTCTGATCATTCAAGAGACTATCCCAAGAAGCCACTCTTAAGCATCATCACGATTTTTCACTTCGATCAGAAGTCCCTCATGAGGCAGCTTCCACTCAGCAACTGACGAAAGTTGCAAGTGACCTGCATAGAGGCCCAAACACAGTTGCCATAGAATTCTTTTCACTCCTTTTTTGCCTTTCCTGGGGGCGCGCATTATGTACATGTTACATTATGCAGATACCGTTTTTGAGAAACACACCACGCTCTGAACGACCTTCCTTTATCTGCACCGATTGTCGGCCATACGGAAACATTGCGGTGGGAAACGGGGGGTGGGGGTGTAGGAGTGTGGGAAGTGGTGCATGTCGTAGAACGGCATCTCGTGTGAGCGCGTCGTTCTATGAACAACT